CTTCCTCTCCATCACCAGCAAAGTCTTCACCAGAATTCTTTGGAACCACATAGTACAAGGTCTGGCTGCAGGGTATTCTACCTTAGGAGCTGCGTGGTTTCAGAAAAGCTCAAGGAAGCAACGATATTGTGTTTGTAGCTCGGCAGCTCTGGGAGAAACACAAAGGATGGACTGGGGAACTCTGCAGCTTGTTGGTTCACTGTTGATACAGTCAGCCATGAGGGACTTTGGAAGGTGGCAGAGAAATTCATCACAGCAATGCGACAGTCCCATGATAGTTTTTTGACCCATTCCAAGTCACTAATGGAGTAGTAGAGGGCTTTGTGCTCGCATCAATAGCCTCCAGCATGTTGCTCTTCAATATCTTTCATGATGTTTCTTCAGGTGGTTTCATCCACACATACAGGGAGAGACACGAGCAGCCCTCCCCCTACTACATCCTTATTCCTTTATGTGGCACGCAATGGCCCACATTGCACATGAGCTACAGCAAGTCATGTGACCGTCTGGCTGCCTCCATGGACAGGCTGGTGGTTGCCATGGAGAGCTGGGCCCAGCTCCCTCAGATACACACCTCAGCTGGGGGTGGGTGGAGAACTGGCATATATACCGGGTGCCCCTTCCTCACCAGGAGAGCAGTTTGGTGCCCAGGAAGCTTCCAGCCAGAGGAAGCACCACACACAGTCCTCTTAGAAGTCTCCTGTCAAGACACTCCTGAGGTAGCCAGACCCTCCACCTCCTTCCTGCCCACTCTTTAGAGGCTCATGCCGAGGAAGGTTGACTAACATCTGTTCAGAAGACCCTCAGCATCTCTGGCCTGTCCAAACATAAGACCCCTCTGGGGTTCCCAGACCAAACCTCCTGGACCAATGGTCTAAGGTTCGGAGCAGGCTCCCTCCACCATGGCTGTGGAACCAGGGTGTGCACTCAGACATAGAGCTGGGGGAGGGGTAACGAGAACATTTATCGAGGGCACTTTGGTAGCAGGGCATACGCTGCACTGGCTGGTATTTTGCACATTTCTAAATGTCACTGCTTGCACCTTACTCCTGGTGGTTTGTCTGTCTGCGTTGCTGTAAATATTATTGTTCAAACATGAGTCATCACTTCCATCTCCCATGGATGGAGGGCTGTGGGGAAAGCCTCCCGCAGCATCTGGAAGCAAGACGAACTAGACCGACACCTTTGGCCCTCGGCCTACAACATCGCTACTCTTTTGCAGCCCCTGTGTCCAAAGGTGCTGAAGTGAATGAGTTGGCCAGTGACATCTGGGACAGGGGAATGCAGCACAAACAAGGGGGCAATGCATTCGGTCAGCCAGGGATTCAGGATCCATGGTCTGCTGTGGTGTTCTTTCCCTTTCAAAGCCCTAACATCTTTTAGGTGCTGCAGGAGGGGGAGGCAATGGCCTAGTGGTATTATCACTGAACTGTTAATCCAGTGACCCAGTTAATGTTCTGGGGACCCAGGTTCGAATCCTGCCATGGCAGATGGTGGAATTTGAATTCAATAAATATCTGGAATTAAGAGTCTAATGATGACTGTGTCCACTGTCAGAAAAATCCATCCGGTTCACTAATGTCCTTTAGGGAAGGAAACTGTCATCCTTACCTGGCCTGGTCTGGCCTATATGTGACTCCAGACCCACAACAATGTGGTTGACTCTTAACTGCCCTCTAGGCAATTAGGGATGGGCAATAAATGCTGCCTAGCCAGCCATGCCCTCATCCCATGAATGGATAAAGAAAAAAAGTAGGATTGGCCATGCTAAATTACGCATAGCGGCCAGGGATGTGCAAGCCAGTTGGGTTAGCCATGGTAAATGCAGGGTTGCAGGGATAGAGTCAATGAGTGGGATGCTCTTTGGAGGGTCGGTGCAGACTTGATGGGCCAAATGGCCTCCATCTTCACTGCAGTGGGTTCTATAGTTCAATGAGGAAGGTGACAGTGAGTGCTCTGCCTGTCACTATCTTCCGCCTCAGCCTGACCATCTCAGTAAGACCCTCTGCGCTGCCCAACCTGTAAAGCCCATAAGCTTGGCACCTCGCCAGCCAACTTGTCTGCATGTGCCCAGCTTCCCCACCAACCCCTGGATGATGAAGTGACCAAGTGTGGTCACAGACTGTACACCCCACCTCTTGAAGTCAGGGTGCCCCTAATCATTGATAAACAACCCCTCCTACATCACCCCTTCCCATCCGTGCTTTCCCATATCTCTCCCACCCCAGGCAGCTCCATGTTAACCCCTTTCACAATTGCCATCCCCCTATAACGCCCCCTCTTCCCCTCCGAGCCTGCAGGCCCCAGTCCCCAACTCTCCTTCCCATGGCAGCTACTACCTTTGTCCAGTTCCCCCTCCCCGGGCCTTCTTTCCCCTTGGCTTTTGCAGGCGGAGCTAATGGACTGTGCTCCATCACTTTGAAAGACCTAACTGGACAGTCTGGAAAAGAAGTGCCCAGACCCCTGACTATATGTCTTCCCAAGCTCCTTCCCCATCCCACCAACCAGCCACAATGGAATGAAGGACTGACTATGACTCACATCCTGGATTGCAGACGGATAGCCCTCCTGACCAGACGCGCTGAACTGGTACAGGAGCTTGCCCTTGACTTACTGTGTTGGGATCTCTGACTGAAAGGTGCCTCTGTGGACTTTGTCGAGGGCTAATCCCCTGGGACGTAGAGACATGCTGTTTTCTCGCTGCACACGCAGGGGTCTGTTTGCTGGGTAAGCTGCTGGGATGGACGGCACACAACAAGATGCCTGCTCCCTAGACTGAGGACTGCCAACCAGCAAGGTAAACTGCCTGGCCATGTGTGACTGCACTGAACAGGCAACGTAGCGAGCATGCTGGGGGGTGCTAACTGAGCGGCAAGCGAGCAGCCCCTGAGATACAGCCTAGTCCAATCCCTGAGCCGGGCATCGGGCCCTGTATACGAGGTGTCCCTGCTACAGCCTTTCAACGCTGGGCACTGGCGTGCCCTTGCAATGCTCGTCCGTGCTTCCAGAGCTCCCTGCCAATGGATTGGAGAGGCGCCATGATGGTCACGAGAGGTGGGCAAATGCCTGAAGCTAATGCCCATTGACAAGGGATGCGTGCATCTGGTGCCCAGGGATTGTTCCCGGAGCTGCTGAGCAACACAGAGTTCCTTCGGAGTAAGTGATGGGCTGAATTCACCAAGCGCCTGTTCTGGAATCCATGTGGAGGTTTCTCAGTGCCCGGCTTGTTTGGTGAGTTCGATAAGAGCTGAATATTAACAGGGGTTGCGGGGGGTGGGGAGTTGGTTCCACTAACAAGGCATTTAACAAACAAGAATCCCACATAACTGGCAACTCACCACTGCCTAATGAGAATCTCACAGTGCTTCTTGTCAAAAGCATAAAAGATGGACCAAGATGTTCCCATCAAGGGAGTAGGCCTCACTAGACTTCTCATCTAATCCTGCTACAAATTTTTGCCAGAATTCCCATCAGACCCCTGTAAGGTTCAACCCTATACCGTCATTGTATCTCATCAACCTAGGCCTGAATATTTGTACATGCAGAGGCATGTTTGTGGTTTCTTTCAACCCAATAATGTTACTGTCTTTCTCAAACTGAAATTTCAGTCCCATGAGACAGGCTGTGATGCTTTTACGTTCCCAGGTAACTGCTAACGCTTCCTTCTCTACAGTTGAGTATCTCTGTTCAGGCTCCATTAAAGCTCTCGCCATTAAATAGACCAGTTTTCACGTTCCTGTTTGCTCTTGAACAAGGAGGAAAATCCATCATGTTTAGTCTGTTGGTGATAATGTGGAAAAACTGGCAACAAGCATGTTTTTCACAAAATGTGATGCAAGAAGTGTTTTCTGCAGA